TCCTGCTTGAACTAAAGCAGGCCTCTGAGGAAAAAACGAAAATTGTCTGGCCTGAAGATCGCAGGCAATGAAGAAGCCACACCAGTCGGCCCTTAGGCAGCGATCCCAACTGTTAATTTCTGTGGTGGGGAAATATGCCCAGGTAGTTTCCCATCTGTATTTATGTAGCTTCAACGTTCAGGCAGTGAATTGCGGTAGGCTTGTGTCTGCCAGGAGGAAGAGCCCTTGGTTATCAGCTCTCTGGTACTGACCAAGTCAAGGTGATCGCTCTGCTTAGCTTAAAGAGGAGGCAGAAGGGAGATATGACCATTGTTCCCTCTAATTTCTTCCATCCACGTGTGAAATAAATTTTGTTATATGCACCAAGGCATGTGTAGATGGTGCACCACCAATAGAAATACATGCTGGCACTCTGCCAATCAGCTGGGCAGCACCTGAATCTCACCTGGGTGGCCACAGCTTGCAGGGAACATGACACATGATCCCCCCTCATCATTCTGGTGGCTCTTCTGACTGCTCTGCATCTGATCAACATCCCTTCCCAATTCTGGTGTCCACAACTGAACATAGGAGGCCTACAAATGTTCCACCAGGCCCAAATCCAGGGGCAAAGTCAACTCTTTCCTCCTAGAGATTCCCTTGACTATGCATCCACGGATCGATTTAGCTCTTTGGACCACAGTGTACTTTCTATTGCTGGCTGCTAGAAACATGACCTTACAGTGCATTGCACGGACATGCAGAATGCATTTTAAGGGGACGGGGACCGTAAAAACTGCCTGGCTTTCAGCCACTTTGATTTTGCTTTCATCTTTCTTAACAGTTTCTTGCATGGAATTTCTTACCATTTTTACTAGGAAATAAATTCTAGAGGTGAAACTAACCAAGCTCGGAATGACACTTCAGCAGGGTTGGAACCAAGCCTGCTCTCCCCTGATAGCTGGCAGCAGTAGACAGTTGTTATCTCAAGAAGGGGAGAAATCAGAACTCAACTCCGCTGACTCCTGAGGAGAGAGTTGGACACTGGACCCATATATTGCACGAGGCTGATAGGAGAGGAGAATGCTTACGAAAGGTACCCACCCCGCTACCAACAATCCCAGCCCAACGTAAGACCAGCCTGGGAATGCTGGGGGCAAGGGGGAGGAAAAGGCTTTTGCAATGCTTTTCATTTCAGCCGCATCCCAACAATACTGGGGCAAAGCCAGAACCCCCTAGGCTAATCTCCTGCCAAACAGCGAAGGCTGGCGGCAAACAGTGCCTGATTTCTTTTTGCAGCCATCTAGACCCCAGGACGTCCCCTTGCTCCACACCAGCATCAGTGGCAAGAATGAAATCCAATCACTCTGCAGGGCCCAGCTGGCACGGTATGCGTGAGATACCTGCCTGCTGCGTGAAAAGGACCAGCTGTATCTCTGATTGCCATGCACGCGCTTTTGCTGTTCCTGGTCATAGTCCGGGGTTCAAGGAGAGCCGCTTATCGCCGGAGATAGTTATTAGAAGGGAAAAAAAGCTCTGAAATATGGGAAGGGCACAAGGACAGGAGAGGTGGGATGGGCCCATCGCCCGTGGCCTCATGCCTGCACCGAGAAGGGCGCAGCCAGCTTTGAAGGGCCACTCTGATGAGCCTGCTGGAGACTCCATCAACTAGCTACTGTCCACGTCTTTGGGGAGAAGGTGCCCTCTTTCCCAGCCACCGCTTTCCCCCCAGCCCACGCTAAGATGGCTGCTCCTCCACCCGGGAGCAGGTCAAAGCAGAGATTCCCTACCTGTCGAATCAAATAATCTTTATTTACATTGCACAAAGGCAGCAGTTAGAGCGGGGGCAGGAAAGTCAGAGCTACCCTGGTGCCCAACCAGC